AATATTCCGCCTTTTCTGCATCATGAATAAGTGCAGTACGTAACCTATCTCATGAAATATGATAGCGGAAACTGATTAGAGAATTTTTGGACGCATTTAACTAGGCGCATTTTGTTCGCTCACCCACATCCTTCAATGAAATGTCTTTTTCTAGGCAGAAATGGTATTACCGACAAAGAGAAGGGAGACTGGAATGGCCATTTCTGGCTTATTAGCCGTCGTCAGCCAGCCATACCCAAGCCCGAAGTGTGGAACAGAAATTGTGTTTGCGTAATTATATCAAGTGAAATATCAGTAAATTTCGGCGAAAATAGACGTTGGAATATATTCGTGCAATTTCCTATGCTAAGAAAAGTCCTAGACTCCAGTTACGCATCTGAGCGCCTGAACACTCACTTTTTCGGTAAATGCCTTCAAGAACAATCTTATTTTAAAGTTCTGAACGGACAGATAATTCAGAATCTGTCTTTATGGGCGATCGGGTGAAAACACTGAAAATCATGAAATATTCAGGAATATTTTGAAGCCGATCTGAAACTCAGCGTAGTCCAAAACGAAGGAAGAGTATAAATTAATTTAACGGGAGTAACGTTCTCTCTATAAACACAAAGTGGTTTGATAGAATCCGAAACGTCAGGCAAATAAACTTCTTGTCCCAGTGATCGCATCTTCATCTTCTGAACAAAGTGGTATGTTTACGATCTATTAGATACGGACCGGCCTCATGCATGCCACCTTATGAAATATTTTGATCCTACGACGTCCCCATCGGCGAAATCAAACAAAATCTACCTTCCCTTGTTAAACCCCATCTCATTTAACTTTAAGTCGTTAATGAAATTATGAAGCACTGGAAAACTGTTTTGGAATCTACATTCAGAATGTAGACAGTTGACGAACTGTCATATATGAAGTCACACTGCTTATTAAACGATATTTAGATGTAAACTTATCTGAACCGCTGTTATTAGACGTGATTTTATGTCTACTTTCATATTTACCACGTGTTTTGTATGAGAATACATTCTATACATCTAAAAACGAACTTTACTTTATAATAGCCATTCCTGACGTTTTTGGGGTATTGCACTTTTCAAAATAAATCGACATTTCTTAACGACGCAACACTGCCCATAATATTTATTTTATGTTTTTAATTCTTGTAAACTTGTACTTAATTAACAGACATTTGACTCATGAAATGGTGTCGGTTTGCGAGTGATTGGCAAGCAATCGTAAATTTCGACCCATTTCATGAGTTGGGTCACGGACTGCAAGCCCTACGGAGGCATTTGAAGCGTCCGAACATATCATGAACCGTAGTCGGAGGCTCAGTCGGAATACTGATGGTCCCATTACTTGACTGAACATCTGTCCGCATTCTAAGCTTCTGCAAGTAACCGTGACCTCTCAATTTCCCGAGGATGGACGAGTGATTTTCTAGAACCCTCGGCATAAACATACGTGCAAGTTAGATTTTTCAGAAATGCAGAAGAACTGAAATGTGACTGCGCGTCAGACATGTTTAGCATCGAATTCAAAAATGCTTACTGACCACAAAAAATATGAATTATTTTGGCGTCTCCAGTACTCAATACGTTTAAGTATGCGTTGTCTAGCTTTTATGCCCTTCTGGAATTTGCGCGGCCGATTAATTTTCCTGATTAATTCATAACTATGTCTTTTGGCCAAGTAGAATATTCGATAACTCCATTTGGACAAACTGGGCCACACATAAAATCAAGAGGTTAGCTGGAAATAGTCAGTTATCGGTATTTTACTCTCAAAAAGACCTCCTCAGATTGAAAGTCCGGGCTGCCGTGTTGCGTAGACAAAGCGCCGGTGCTGTATGCTAACCAAGACTTACTTTTTAAAACCCCCTGTGTGGCTAGTCGATTTTTGACACCTTAAATAGTTGACATCATAAATTACAGGCTGCCAGACAATGAGCAATTACTACATTGCTCAAAAACGTGTTGTTAAAGCAAGCGTTCGGGTAAAAATATCGGCGATATATCAGTAGATTTTAGATAATAAATAACAACTTAACATTTGTGGAAATTGATCTCTTAAGTGGGGATTTATTTAAATCGATGTCATAATAGGCAATGGCCATTGAGGTTATGATTCATTCTTCTGACCATTACAAGAGCTGCAATTTGAGTAGAATGCTTGTCAAGGCAATAGGGTATGGTTATTTCGTAAATACCATCTGTTAGCATTGATTGTCGACCTTTGCTGCTTTGTGAGGATAAAGGGATATGCTGCTTGTGGAAACTTTCTTGAACAATTAGTCCCCTATCTGCGACTGTCTCTGATTAGAGATTCGAGTGAGAATTCAAAACGTCAGGCCAATAAATCTTTTGTTACAGTGAGCACATATTCGTCTTCTGAAATGGTCCCTTATCCATTTTTGCATCGAATTTTCTAGCTTGCGTACCCGATCAGAATTATCCGAAATCACGTTATCGAGTGGCAGAAGATTGATCACGATTCTGACATACCAAAAATAAGCCTATAGACGAATATTCCGCTGTTGAAGCACAGGATTTGCTCATAATCTGCAACGTAAAAAACGAGAAACTTAATTTCAGCCCTGTAATTGGCGAGTATCTTCGAGCGTAAACCGCGTGTCGGTTCATAGATTTCCGGCAAAAACGATATGCGGTGACCCGAGTTCCGAGGACTCGATGCTCTTAGGTTGTAGAAACTGCGTTAGCGACCTGAGTTTTCAGGAGCAGAGATTTTGTTTTGTATGACCGGAGTCTCAGATAAGTAAAATGTGGTTGTCTAAGTCCCTTTTTGTAAACGAGTCACACTTATTAATTATTAGTTGATTGGCATTGTGCAATCGCAGTCGTCCTCGTGAGATCGGAGTTTCAAGTGGAAGTAGCAAGTTCCCTCACGAAATCGGGATATGCTGCTCAAATTTTGCTTTATGGGTTTGCAAGCTCATTCCTTTTTTGAAGCAAAGGTTTGTCTGACACATGGGTAAAGTTCAACATGTACGTAAGATGTCTTTGTGTAACTCGCGAGATCTTGTCGAATTATTAGATAAAAACAATCCAATTAACACTTAAAACCTGCGTAAACTTTACGGACTTCATTACCTGGTCGTTCATAAGCATTAAGATGCATGGCTTTCTATAACAAAGGCCTGCAATTACTGGTTGCAAATTATGCAAAAATGTCACTTTTGGCAAAAGTTTGATGAGGGTGGCAGAAAATATCAATTCCTTCTCTTATGCTTCATCCTGTGTGGTATTAAATCTGAAATGCCTTAGGTATGAAATAAATTAGCTTGAAAAATTTAAAAGCATTTTTGTTTCCTTTAGTTAGATTGTCAGATCACGTTCTCACATCACACACTCTCTGCGTACCGGCAGTTTTCATTTTAGCGTATTCGCCGTAATATTCAACCTGCGCTAATTCCGTTTCTAGATTACATCAGATTTGAAATAAACCGCAAAACCCTTCTGTAGGGTTCTATTCAGGAACTTTTCTTATTATCTAAGGGTTGTTTATAAAAAATGCATTTGTGGTTGCTGTGGCACAGCATAATACTGTTAGGCCAAAAGTACAAAAAACATAAAATTCAAAATCCGTACTGGCATATGAGCTGTTTCTGTCTTAAAACTAACGCATCTGTCCAGACCAGGTTGATTTTGAATTTTGTTCATGGAACATCGAATGTCAGATACATAAAAGCTGTTTTCTGCGGAACTTTTTCATGCTAATTAGTACAGACTGAATAGAAACTTGATGCAAAACTTTTGCTTGATAAGGAATAAATTTATAGCACCCGGAGTGTCTTGAGATGCAAAGTAATATGAATTTAATCGGTAACGGTGGGGTATGTAACCCCTGGGTGGTTGGTATGCTTCACAGTAGTTTGGTTCTCAGTAGGTCCCGAAAGGGGTCATGCAGAAAGCATATTTTGACATCCAATAGCGTTCCCGATATTGAAGTTGTCCGTTTTCGGCTCAAAGTTGGAGTCTGAAAGACAGTTAAAATTGATGTTAACTGGGTTGTTCTTGGGAATAGAGGTTCCGGGCTTGAACTACGATTCGAATTTTGGATAGAGGTTAGGGCTAGGGTTTGTAGGGCTTGATTTATGTTACGGGCATGTTCGACTTTCCCTTAAATACTTAATGGTTAGAGATTTTCCGCTGAAGGCATAACTAGGACTGGCGTTAGGTTTATAGCTAACACCAGTCTCCCCCAAGCGGGTTACATAGCAATTCCTCGCCATTTAATCTAAGTAGGCCATATTGCTCATGCGTAATATTACCAAGGATTCTACTGGACATCCAGAATGATTCTTGGGGATTCTGGTAAAGTACTAAACAAAACAGACAACGTCCAAGGTAAAACTTTTAAAAATAAAATTTTTAACCATGCCGTATAACTCACCTTAATAACCGTTATGTCCCCAGTTTGTTGATATAGGGCATGCTTTAAAAATCAGACAAAATTTAAGAAAACACTAAATGACCATGTTGAATCGCCAACGGTGGGAGGGTTGACAAACACCCGTAGTTCATCGTCTTCCATTACTTTAGCAAACATCGACCGCTTGAGGCTGCATGTAACAATGTTCGAATACTGCAAATTATCGGCCTATTTCAGTTATCATCGTTTTTTGCAAAAATGTATAGACAGGTTTACGTAGGTACCATGCGAGGGCTCAAGGGAAATATATGGGCCAAGAAAGAGAGTCGTGGAAAAAGACCAGGAAAACCGAACTAGTCATCATACCGCAATTACGTTTATTGCCATCCAGAAGCCAACGCCGGCCAAAAAGCGCTGGTGTTCTGAATAGTTAATTAGAGTAAACATGATACCATGATACAAGTATGCAGAGTAGAAGCCGCGTGGGAGTTTCGTTAGTAGAT